CAAGGGCGGTTCCTGTGATTCTATAGGAGGAAGTGCGGTTGCGTCCCAGGGGCCACGAGGAAGGACCACCAAGACAAATTGTGACAAATATTGAAGTCACTTAAAGCCACTTTTCAGTATTTGTCCGTTTGAGGGACAAGCGGTTACTACAGTGGACAACCTTATCATGTTATGAGGTTACAGGGAGCACGAAAGGGTTCATGATGGGCTGATTTTGTCTGTGATTTTCCTGAAACAGGTCACAGATCCTGAAATCGTGTCCAGGATGCCCTTCCACGTTGTGCACGGAATTGTGAGTGACACCAATCAAGTTTGTCCAGATGATCATTTCAACCAAGACGAACAGTGCCAATGACAACCGTGCATTATTTGCCGAACAGTATTTATTTCTGTTTATTGTTGTTGTTTGTTCTGCAAATATTTAGATATTCACATTTTTATCTCTTTTAAAATTTTTACTTTTATATTATGTTTTGAAATGATTAGGTATATGTATTTAATGCATTATATAGTTTGACTCTACCCCAAATATAATTTAAAAAAAATCCAATTTATTAGGAGTCGTGCTTCATATTTTAAGATTTGTTTCACTGTACACATCTTTTCGATTTGATAACGTATTATGTACTTGACAATGACAGTTCATGATTAACCGAATATGGCAACAACATACAAGGAATATTCCACCTTGCTGGCTGTAATTCACAATATGTCCACAAGAGAGCGGTGTTTCTCCATACAGTATCAAACCGGCACGGTGGCTCCTCAACTTGACTTCAGCTGATGTTTGCAGAGATCAGGGAGACCATGTCTGGAGGTAATTTCCATGGAGAGTATCTTGCTAAGGTATGATGACGTCATAGCTTTTGATCCATCTGATGCGTAATTCTGTTTGGCTTGGCAAGTAAAATGGTGTGACGCCAATTGTTGGACATAATGAGGTAGCGCGAACAAAGTTAGTGATTTGGAGTGGTTTGATTCTGGCTATCAGAAACCAGTGAACAGGAACAAGATGAAAGCATGAGACACACAAAAGGGGAAAATTACAACTTCAATTTTATTGGCCATTTTTGTTCTATAAATAAAAATACTGTCAAGTTTACACATGTCACGTGATTGGATTGTGAGGATCTTCAGTTCTGTTCCTCGAGGACCCGTTTGAGATGTTTTCCATTCCTCCCGACGACAAGACACCGGATTCAAATCTGGATCGTAGCGACGGTTAGCTTTTTAATGCTTGTCGGCTTGCACATAAACAAACCTCTTACATCGTCAAAAGCTCGAAAATAAAACGAACACGACTCCGTGCGTCATCGATCTTTTGTGACTATCTCCACACATTTCGAATGCAATTGATTAAACGCAAACTCCAATCACACACACCGAAATCTAGAAACACCATTATGAATCTGTTTTACCTCTTCAAAATTGTCTGAACGTTTGATTTGGGTGCGTTGCAGCAGAGAGATGGGAAAACGAGCCCTTGAGGAACAGGCCTGTTGTATTTGAATAAATTGCGGTCGACAAAAAGCACAGAAATTGGGCGAATTTACACAAAAAAAAAAACAAAACAAAAAAAAACCAAAAAACGATATTTAAGTTGCTCTCCAACGTGTAGTAAATTCCCGGAGAAGTGGCTAAAAATTAGCATTGGGTAGTCCACTACTTCACGCCCCACTTTCACTGAGGCAAAAGAAAAAGCATCAAAGCAAAACACACTATCAACATGCACCGAAGGAGTTGGATTACCGATTACGTCACGTGAAGAGAAGCCTTTCCCAAAAAAAAAAAAAATCTTGTCCAGGCAGTTTGGTTAAAATCCTACACATTTGGTACCACAAAACTACACAGAACTTTGTTCATGTGATGAAAATTAAGCGGGACTACAATCTACTTTCTACTCAACAGGTCGTGATTTTGTCGGTACATGAAAAGTGCGCAGCAGATGCCAGCACCCAGTCCTTTCTTCCTCGATGGCCTTTTCTCACCCGCGCCGGATTTGGGGGTTCGTCCGCTGAGTGCTGGCTCACTTTTTCACGCTGGGAGGTGAGGCTTTGTCATGAAAACTGGATCTGCTGTACGGTGGGAATCTGCAGGATAGAGTACAAGTGACAATGACTTAGTAGCAGGCTGGCGGAAGATCCAGAGCCACTTTCAAATGACTCTTGTCAAAGCTCAAAGTAACAAAAACTTCGAGTAAACTGCCCATATTTAAAAACGTGTTGGTGAGCGCTGAAAATTGGTTTAGCTAAGGTACATAACAACCAACCCCTAAGATTCGCAGCACCTATTCTGTAAGAATCTTTCACACTGTTTTATGACAACGTTACACGCATACCTGTTGATATGAGGTGGTGTACACCATGACGTTTTGCTGCTGACCGTCAGCCGTTATAATTCCTGCCGGGAGAGGGTTTGCTGCAAAGAATGGAAAATGAATTGTTGAACAGCAATTGCTTTCAACCCATTCAGTACCAGCCAATTCTGAAACGACGTTTAAAACCGGGGGGGGGGACGGCATGTAAAAGTCAACTTACTGAAGCTGTCCTCCGTGAGCTCCTCTCCTAGGCTTTCACCCACAGACACGCCGGGCATGCCCTTCTCCCCTTTCATTGCCTGGTCGAGTGGAAATATAGCCCATTTAATTGATGTGATTTATTGTAATGCCCTCCACAAATTAGTCGCGGATAGACACAGTTGCCGGGGCCCTTTCAATCGCTTTATTGAACAAACGGCAAGAAAACAACCGCGTAATCAGCACATTCATTCGCAAGCTGCTCAGACCGCAAACCATTTAACAGCCTAGCCCGAGCACACAATGCAAAAGTCAATTTTGATTCAATTACTCTCTATCCGAGTCAAACCATATTTGATAGCCGCAGCACTACAAGTAATGAAATTAGACTAAAATCAATATTAAATAAGCAGCAGTCTGCGCATTGTCTCTCACCTCTCGGAACTTCTGCAAGTAGAGCTTGAGCGGCTCCACGTACATGTCGAAGCCCAGCGTGGACATGGCGAACAGGATGTCCTCGCCGTTGATGGTCTTGCGCTTCTCCTGGTGGCAGCGCTCGCTCGCCTCGCTCGTGATGAAGCTGATAAACTCGCTCACGCACTCCTGCACGCACTCCTTGGCGTCCTTTGCGATCTGCGGAAGGAGACGGGTTGTCTTTTGGGGTTCCGCATGTCCAGTGGCTTCAGTGTTTCGGGCCCCGGGAACAAACCTTTCCGGTTTGGGGGACGGCGTTTTTCATAATTCGAGCCACGTTGGCGATGGGGAGATAGATGTCCTGCTCCCTGTAATTCTCCTTGATGCCACTGTCGTCCTGGTCGTTCATACCTTCATCAGGGTCATCTACAAGAGACCATTTAATATAATTTGACCGAAATATCCCTGATGTTTTCAATTGCTTATATGAATTGAGGGGGCAGCTTTTGATGAGAGTGATGCCTGTCTCCGTGTCATGCCATATGACTCATGATGTTGTCGTAGGCAGTTGTACCGTTATTTAGGTTCAACTATCAGTTGAGTGTTTACCATCTGGCTGCAGCACATAGTGCGTGGATGGGATGTACTCCCCAGCCATGCCCAGCTGCGAGGCGTCTGTCGTGGCACCGTCTCCGTCCATCTGGGGAAGCCACAAATGTACATGATTAAATGTTACGATATGGGGCTGGACAAAAGGGGTGTTAGGAGCGTTACAGCCAGTGGAGAGGTGTGTGCTGGGTTGTAAAAAGGACAGTTACAGGCGGTTGAATGGAGTGTAACAGATGGCAGGCAGAGAGGTGTGTTCTGGGTGGTAGAAAGGAGCGGTACGAGCGCTCTCTTATCAATGAAGCAGAATCCGTTTATTTGCCATTTGTGGGCGCGCCTCATTGGAAACTGTTGGCATGAGCTCACCAACATACAAACAACATAAAGCATATCAACAATAGAACTAGGATGGAGAAACCATGCACTTCATCTTGCAGTGTCTCGCTGTCATGTGCGACAAAGCCTATACAGTACCTAATTTAAGTGTGTTTGCAGTAAATGCTTGGGTAAGATTAACTTAATGATTCACTTTCCAGGAAACAAATAATATAACCACACTGTCATGAACATAATGTTACTAAAATGTATATGGTAATGCGGATGTGGCCGTTTCAAAATTACGGACTCTTTAGATCCTTGTCAACAAACCGCACCCATCGCCTACGTAATATCCATGTATCCAGTGTTTGTCATGCAATTATTAATTAAAATAATGCATTTAATTTGGGAAGAAAGACACGAATATGCAGGGAAGACCGGCGAAAAACACGGTTCTGTGTGTAGCTAAAGTATGCTAACTAGCAGCTAGTTCACTAGCTTGCGATAACCCCCCCAAAACAGTAGATTGCGAAATTCACCTGATTAAAAATAGGCTGTTGTAATGCAGCGTTATATAATAATCAGGCAACCATCCGTTACCTTCGGTCGGTAAACCCGCGTACACACACGCGGCGTCCATTGCGAAAATGGACATTTCACATCCGCGGTAGGGGAAGGGTCGGCCCCGTTTCTTTGTCGGAGGAGAACGTGGCGGCGGCCCGAATCGTTTTAACCGACAATTGAAAAGTTTCGCCGGGGTGATACTTCCTGACGAGCGGACGACAAATACGAAAAAAAAAACGAGTCGGCAGACGGACATTTCCATTCGAGCTAACGAGGAATCGGTTAGCAATCATTGGCCGGAGCCAGACACAGACCTGCAATGAAGCCCTGGTTGGTTACCTTCCTGAGACGGCTGTTTGGTTGGACAGAAAATGGCTGCGAAAGGACCAGTCCCAGCGCGGAGCCACGGCTGCGCTTCCGACTCTGGCCAGTAGAGCGTCATGTTGCCTTCAATGACTCCTCGCAAACTCGTTCCGAGCAGATTGTGCTCAATACTAGACAAATTACCCCACACTTAAGTGGTTATGTTTAAACCAGATTGACGCGTAATTGTTTTTATTAAATCAACAAAAAATAATATGTACAATATCTTGTATGTTATTCAATATTAGCACTGCCTGTAAGATGAATCCCACATATACGTCAGCGCTCGAACGCACCTCCCCATTGGGAGCCTTCGCCCTCCCACTGTCGCTGTTTGAATAGCGACACGCGGTTTGTCTTCCCCAATCTACCGTTTCTCTCCTACGAGGTATTTTATGTCCCTTTTCCTGGGTGCATTTCACTTTTATCTGCTTAACCATTGTTTCCTCCTCTAAAACATTCCAGTAGAAAATGACAAGTGTTTTCGAAACGTCAACTCTTAATCAATAGCGGGACTTGTGCTCCCTGCAAGCGACGAAAATGGCATGGAAACGCACTAACTTTGACAAGTGCAGTTATAAACCTCTTGGTAACTACAGCAATTTTTTTCTACGCTAAATTTGTTTTTCCAATACGTCTGCTCTCTACTTTTATACCACAAGGTGGCAGTATACTGAAACACTTCAACGTAAGACTCAATGCAAACGCCCCCAGGGTATTTTTACGACAGCGGAGATTTAATTGAAAACACCTTGTTTTATAATTAACAAAAAAACAGGTGACTGTGACACAAGCCTATCTCCATTTTATTCTATTGACAAACTGAAGTGTTTTTATTTTCATGTTTTCACCCTCCACAGACCGAGAGCGACGTAAAAGTTTCTGAAAGACGCAAGATGATGGAAGGACTACGCGGAACCAAAAGGGGGAAAAAAAAGCATCCCAGTAAGCCTCATGTCGGAAATTTTATTATGAGAATGAGTTTAGCCCATATCTAAATCTCAGTTAAAATCGTAGGAGTGACCTGTCGCTAGCATGTCACTTCTTCTTATTCTTATTTATCTTTGTAATGTTTTTATACAGTACATTTTTTGTGTTATTTTTACCATGACGCCTTCTTAAAATTGATTTCAAACAAAAATTGTAGTTGTTATTGAGATATTTGCCAATATATTCTGTAGATTTTACTGTTTAGATAAATGCGCACGCTCACAGGTGTTTTCCATCCATCACCGGTATATCTAACCATTACTTCAGCTCACCCTGAACAGATGGGAACTAACGGAGCAGATAACCGATTCCCTCATCTGTGCCGTAAATCTTAACGTACAGATCCATCATGGCGCAACAACGCCTTGGCCTTTCTGGCGCAGGCCAAATTGACTTTTCCATCTTGCTTGACAGCGACGTGTCCCCTCTCCCACCTTGCAACTTCGTGCAACGTGAACTTCCTGACTGCGGGCCTGCTGTGGAAGGACGATATGCAAAATCTGTAGAACCATCAGCATTCTCCCAACAAGTCATGTTTAAGGTAAGTCTCTTCTAACTCTCACTGTGCACTACAACCGGACTGCGGACAGGTGAGCGGTAACGCCCTTGTGTATAGAGGGAAACATTTTTTTTTTTGTCGTAATTACTGAATTAAATGTTTTATAATCATGTGTGCATGATGAATGTCATGACAGCAATTACTCCCCCTCAGTGTCACGGTGGCCCCTAAGTCCAAATATTGCACTCGCATTCATATCGCGCTCCGTCTGAGGTCCTTCGGCTTGTCAGTCCTTGAAGGAAGGTCAATGTCAGAGCGGCGTATTCAAATGAGTTTCCCAGTCCGGGTGTTGAATTATTCAAGATTTATCTGTATTTATTTTTTTAAATGTCACCCAAGAGTAACTGTGCGCCTGCTAATCCCCCGTTACATTGAAAGAGTCAGGACCTTGTTGAAAATGTAATTAATAAGGCATTCAGTGAGAGTTCAAACAAAGGTCACTGGATCTTTTATTGAGTGACTCCAAATGTTATCAAAGTCAAGTTGGATTCTCACTATTTTAATGCAGGCCGGGACTTTTTTGCTCCCCCTATGCCCCTCATTGACCCCAATGCATACTGTATGGGAAAGTGCTGAGGTTGGGCCCCATCAATCACGGTTGCCGGGGTAACCAGTAATGGCTGGCGTGATGCGTGCTGTTCACGGGTGACCTTGACTGTCTACGGATGTCTTCACGTGATAAACAACCTCGCGGGGACTGTGCTGCCATTGCTCATATCAATCATGTTTTTGTTACGTTTTTTTTTTAACCTTCGCCTACTTGCCTCCGTCCTTTTCTTAGTTAGTTTGCAGGATTGATAGATAAGTACATAAAGTAATATACAAATGCAGTTTGACTTCGGCTATTTGCTGATATTGTGGAACCTATCCTGTTTTTTTTTTTTCCTTGCATGCAAAACTCACCTATTTGCTTTCTTTGCGCGTAGGCACTCATTGTTTCCGTGTATCGGCTCATAAATTAGCATTGGTTAATAAAATAAAATAAACACATGCCCCTTCTACATCCAACCAGATAATGCTTCCATCACTTATCTTGTACCTTTGTACACTAAGAGGAGTTGATATAATTCTAAGCATTCTTTTATTGTTATTATTGCAATGACAAATATTGCCATGTGCAAGAGTGGGTGTCTGAATATGTACAATCTTGATGGAGGTTTAAACTCCACTTAGTGAAATAGATTTCATCCCTTTTTTTTTTTTTCTGGGGGCGGGGGGGGGGTCACTTTTATCTAATTTTCTGAATGTACACCGATGACTCGCTGAGGTACTTTTGACCTCTCAGCGTGAGGCTGGGCTCAACCATCTAACACATCTTCAAGGTCCAGTTGACATTTACAAGGCTACAAGAGAATAAAATTCAGCTCAGGCCATTAGCACCACATTACGAGCCCCGGGGGGAGTTTTCGGAACTTAATTCCATGTAATGAATTAAACGGCGATTGTGGACTCTAAATCGAAACCTGTAAATGCCCCTCATCTCATAGGTCCTTGTCTGTTCTTTACCGGGCCCTTCGGCCAGCATTCCTTAGGTGCTGTTTGCTTTTCCACTCCCGTCGTGTTTCCGCTCCAACTTGAGTGCATGTATTTCTTAAAAGAAGACCCTGAATGTTTTCCCGTGGCCACCTCAAGCTCGTACGAATGCATTCGTAACATTGGTGGGCCGCACACACAAGGGCCTCATTTAAATTCGGCCGGAGCGACGCTTAGCTTCTCATCCATTTCGTGCCTTTGCGGCAGTGTTTATCAATACAAGGCTGATGCGATCTGCAAGACCACCTTTGTGGCATTTCCCATGTCGACGTTGGCTTGTGTACGTAAGCGATTGCACCACATTTCCTGCCTGTGTGTGTGTGTGTTTTTTTTTTTTTTTTTTCATCATGAGAATGCCACCGAAGGATAATCTGATTACAATATAACCGCCGCCATCCGTAAAGATTTAAAGATTCCGAATAGCGATCGTATTCATCACTGCCTGGGGACTTTGCCACTTGGTGGCACTGTAGTTGTTTGTGCCAATGGAAATCGAGTTAAAGCTGAGGGTGTTTAGACAAGAGCAACATAGGAGGGGGGAGGGTGGGGGGTGAAGTGAAGAAAAATGTGTGTGGGTTGTCATTGTCTGCTGCCTCTCGCTATTTCTGTCACTGGTGCTTATACTACCACAATGAGCAGTAATGCCAGACGGCATACAGTAAACCGTGGCCTGAATTGGAATAATTGTCTCTGCATGTCGTCTTGCATTGTTTTAACGTCTGATTAAAAAAAAAAAAAAAAAAAAAAAAATAGCATGACCTTCTGACTTCATTATTGTGGTTCTAGCTTGGAGTGCTGGTGTTATGTATTGCACCCACGCAGGAGTTGGTTAAAACCTGACTCGAGTCTCAGTAATTTGGTCAAGTGTACTTTATGAGTGTACTTCGCTGTGTTGTGCTCAGGCCATGTCTAATTTAACAATTTTGCTTTGGCCTTCTGCTATGGCATTTTGGGGACGAGGACCTCTGTTGAAGCGAGGGGCCGAGCTTCATATCGTCAGCTCTTTGCCGTGTCTAATAAAAAAAAAAAAAAAAAAAAAAACCCAGTTTTGTCGCCATCTTGTGTAATAGAGGCAACTATAAACCTTTTTGGGTGGGCGTCAATTGCAGATTTTCGCTCTTTGTGGTATTGCTAGGCTCCTATCCAGTCATTTATCCCCAGAGTCCAAAAGGAAATAAAATGGCTAAAAGGAAAGTAGTAACTAGTATTTTTATGGGTTACATGGGCACTTCTGCTGATGTGTTCAAAATGATATTAAAGTATTTGGAGATCATAGATTAGATTGTGGTGTGTTTGGGGTTGAAACTGTGTATACGTACATATTTTTTTAAATGGTTCAATGGCTTCCATGAGTTGCACATTTAAAAATCTATTTATTCGTTTTGCTATTTGCATCGGGCCCTCTAACCCATGTGAATAACAAGAATTCACTTTGTAGGATTTGACCACTACTATATTATACCACATATAAGCTACTTGGATATGTATACTTTAGTAAACCGAAGTACTTTATGATTATATGTAAATTGGGTACTGTATTAATCCAATGAGTTAGATTAAAATAATGTAGCTGAACGAAATCCAACGGAAGCTGCTCTTTTTCTTGATTTGATGACTTTTTTTTGTCGCTATTTTAATAATGGACAGTTGTTAGCAATGATATCAGTCAGGAGTCTGTTCCATTTGGTGAAGCAAGTAAGAGACAATGTAAAAATACTGGATATCTGAAAAAAAAAAAAAGAACAATCTTGTCTAGCAATTAAATACGTTCCTAAATGGTCAAAAATGAGTAAATCGACAAAGATAGAAATGCACATCTGGGCGCGCTCATTTCCTCGGCGTCGGGAGTCCACCTTTCGCCAAGCAGCTCCTCCTCCCCCCCGCACGCCGCCCAGCAATGGTACGTTCCGCGTAGGTTGCGTTTAGCTCCAAGACCGGCGGACGGTCCTCCTGACTCCTCATCAGTACCGTCAGAGCCCAATCGGGAAGGTTCGAGCGAGCGGAACCTTCACCCCGTCTCTTTATTCTCGCCTTCCTCGGCCATGAAACAGACTTTAAGCGAACTCATGAGGATGAGCAAAATATGCCGGATGGTACTCGCCACTTGTTTGGGATCCTTTATACTGGTCATCTTTTATTTCCAAAGTATGTTCCAACCAGGTAGGACCCATTGTCTCTTCTCTTCTTCCCAATGCTCGCGCGTGTGTGTGTGTTAAGCCACCCTATCAATTTGTTTGCACCAGCCGCATAATCGATACGACTTGATGCCGAAGCAGGCGCCTCTACGCTGGAGCGCTCTGTTCGAATCGATCCGCCTCCACATTGATCCGTTTGGTCTTTTGAAGATATGCCGGCGTGCTTTCGCCGGTCGAAGCGGTGGCATTGTGCGGCAAAAGGCGTGAAAGAAATCAGACGCCCCGGTTCCGTGAAGTGATGCGTAAAAGGGCGCACGCTTGACAGGGGGCGACCCAAGCTGGGAAACACGCGCTGTCCATGTCCGTGAAGGCAACGTGAAACAAAAGCAGCTGCTCTTTCACTTTAGCTTGTGGGAAACAGCGGTGCCTTGACTTGCGCCTTTAATTTGTTCCCCGTGCACGCTCGTTATTTAAAACCCTCCCTTCCCAATTCATCTTCCACCGATGAAATGAATGAGTGGCCCTCCCCCAAAAAACACCAACCAAAATGTTCTAACGTGCATTTGAAGTGAGGAAAAATAAGTACTGATAATGTTGTACTTAATAAAAACATTCTGTATTAACGTATTCAATAGAATGTGAATCATGATTATAGTTCAGTGGACCTCCTTGTAGTGTGCGCACCTTAACCACCAGGGGGCAGTGTAATAAACACAGACTGCACTTTGATTTGACGGTGTGACACGAAGACGTCACAACTGAGCTCCAGTCGCATGAGTCATTTCTCACAGAGGATAACGAATATATGCCTGTGAATATAGTTTCCTTTACTCGTCTGTGGCATTTTTTTAAATTGTGTGTTGGCATTAAGCTATCGGCAAAGTAACGCGGTTTTGAAGCAATACACGTCATTCTCATTGTTTGATTTTTAGAAACTTCAAGCCACGAAGGTGTGAGTTTGTGGGTTTCAAGGGCACTTGTTCCCCCATCCATTTTCTCTCGTTCTTTTCACTCGGGTTGTGGGAGAGCCGGAGCCTATCCCAGTTGCCTTTGGGAACACCCTGTGGTGGTCGCCAGCCAATCGCAGGGCAAATTTAGACAAACATTCACACCAATTTGATTCTTAATATTCTTTTTTTTTTTTTGGAATGTGGGAGGAAGCAAAACCCACTCAAGAACCCCTCAACCCCACTCTTTGTCCGGCTGAGATAGACTCCAGTTACCCAAGACCTGAATGAGGTCAAGCCGTCTAGAAGTGGATGGGTATAAGTTCTTTCGTTATAATTATTTTAGCATTCAGACTGTGTTGGGGAT